AAGACTTCACTGTTGAGTGCGCAGCGTGGTATAAACATAGGGAGCTGCTGACGAAGAAAGCAGACTGGTGCTTTGGAGACCTGGGTTTTATTCTTTGATTTCCTCAAGCAAATCGTTTTGCACCCATTCTTTCTCTCTTCCCCAGCATGACTGTAAGCTCTTGGGGTTGTGGACGTTCTCAGTAGTTCTGGGTTCGGCTAGCATAGAGCTAATTTTTCTTTTCAGTAGCTAGAATTAGACATTATCCAGGGCCCAAGATAACAGGATCCCAAATTTTTATCAGGGTCTTTGGCTAACTGCAGCACACAGAGGACAACAAACAGTATTTCTAAGGAAGGTGATCTGCCGGGAGGTTGAATACAAGAAAATGAAATGAGAACTCAAAAGTATTCCAAGTACCACCAGTTTGGAGTCCAAAGGAAAAAAAAAAAACCAAAACCAGGAAGATTAAGCCAAGTACCTCTGGCCAGCCTTTTTCCTTTAACTGCAAAGAAAAGCAATCTTTATGAAGTGATAAAGCCATCCAAGAACGGCTGCAGTTGTTTCTTTTAAACGAACCAGAGAACAGATGGTCTCCTCTCATACTGTCACAAAGGTCAAAATTAGCCACCTCTAAGACTAGCAAGTTCTTGAAATGCTCAAGTGCTTGTGTCTGGTCCTTATGACTAATCCACTCTCCAGAACAAGAAAGGTCAGATGAAGAACACCCCTCCAAATACTGCAACAACTCCTAGCCATGGCTGATGTGTAAGGCACTCAGACATGGTGTCAACAGCTGCTCCTAAAACCCAATGAGTCAGCCTTTCAAAAGAGCTTGTCAGATCTCACTGCTAGAGCTTCCACAAAGATTATATTTACTCCCCAATGTTTAAAAATATCCTCCTTAAACCTTGAAAATGTAAAATGTTTTCCTTAAAGAAGTTGTCCTTTTCCCCCAGACAGCTGCCCAAGAATGTCTCATATATTTATTTGAGAGCAAAACTTCCCAGCTCTTCTTTCACTTTCCTATTCATGTGCTGACAGCTAAACCAAAGGCAGGCCTCTGTTTCTGAAGTCATGTACAAATGAAGTATTTCTGGTCTCTTTCACAACATTTACCTGCAAACCACAGTCAGCCTTCCAGAGTACTGTGAGGTTAAGTGTTCTTCTCAACAGATAGGGTACAGAGACACTGGGTGACTTGCCTTTGGTCCTACAACAGGCACGCAGGCGCAAACCCCCTATCCATCCCCTACTCTAATCACCAATCTCCCTTGGATGCTGTCATTTAAATAAAAAGGCCTATTGGAAATGACAGGTGAAGAAAGCAGTCCAGGCATGAAATGCACTCTAAAGTATATTAATAGAAGGTTGCCAGACAAAACGGCACAAGGCATTTGATCGCATCATCTTAGGCTTGTTGTTCATGCTCCTTTGCATCTGGCTGTGTGATTTCTGCCAGATTCTCGGCTGGAGGAGCAGGCTAGGATTTGCCTGCTTTCCCTAACCCGTGCCGGGCTCAGCTGCAATCATGCAGAGCACTGAAAGAAATCCCTTTGAGTTGGGATTCATTCCGAACGTGTAAAACTCAGACAAATGACTGCTTCTCCAAAGTGAATCCCATTTCACAGCAAGTAGGTTATTAGTGTGGAACTCCATACAAGTAGCCTGCATTCAAAAGCCCTCTGCATTATTAATAGAAGATGAGCTTTTGACATCAAAGGAGAACCATTATGTATGCTAAACGGTGGCAAAAATTGTACCCGCACTTCAAACCTTTTCAGTTCTTTGTCCCTTGTAAATCAATCAAGGTTGACAGATGCTTTAAGGAGAGTAATCTTTTCAATGATACTGTCAATGGATAACATAATGGAACATTGTCTCTGTGCTGTGTGAAGACATGGAGCTAGTCAATTATGGACAACACTTCATGCAGCCGCCAGTTTTCACTTGAAGTGCTGCTGTTGAAGTATTATAATCCCAACAAATGGCCGCAGCAGCATACAATGTAAATGAGACCTCCTGAAGCTTTGGAAAATTAATTAGTAACAACAGTGGTCCATTCCCACACTTTCAAACACCAGCCTGGTAATGTTAACGATGTACTTCCCCCCTTCCCTTTGAGCAGTCAATAGGGCATATTTACATACACTATTTTTAATCTTCAACACTTTTTTTCCCCTCCTTTTTAAATGCAGGAAGCTCTGGATTACTTTCCTCTCTTTCAAGCAGCAAATTTCACCCCTGATATTTCCAACCAGTCACATAACTCACATGACTGGAGCTGAAAACAAGAGAATAGAGACTTTCCCACTTAGAGACAGCAGTAATATTCACTCCTCTTGCTTCACGCACGTCGGACACTTTGTGGCAGTCTCCTTTTCCAACACTTCTGTCCCCTCAGCTGCCCTGAGAAGAATGGCTTGGATGGATGGCAAGGGAAAAGCTTCCGGTCTCAAGAGACCAGTAGGATGTGAGTTGAAAGCCCAATGTACTAAGTGTCAGCAGCACCTATGTCAAACTGTGGTGCGCTGGATGCCAACATATATATCCGATTGCCACGTTCTACAGAAAGGAGATTGAGAGTCAAAGGGGAGAGACTGCGCTGTTTATTTAGCTATTGGCTTCTATTTCCTACGTCATTTTCTCAAAGATTTTCCCTTTGTCAACCAAGGCTTGCACTAAGAGGAACACTTAATCTCCCACAGTAAGAGAGAAATCAGACACTTGAGAACAAAATTTCTAAACTCCTGTCAATTGCGGGTTTTCATTGCTATGATCTGTGAACGCCCCCTTATTTAGAATGTGTTTTTGAAACAACCAGGTGCAGATAAGAAACTCTGAGAATCATAGATAAGAATCACAGAGGTCATCTTGGACAAGAAAAGGCTGTTCCTTGAACCCAACTCCCTCTTCCCCAGGCTCCAAAGAGCTGGGAACAGAAGCAGCTGCTGTCCCCCCTTCATTTAGTATGGATTTGGTCCTCTGCACTCTGGACAGTTTTCTGAGAAGCCCTTGCAGTGAATGACTGCAGAAAGCTTCACACTGCAGCAGTCCCCTGAACCCCCAAAACATACAGATAATGGTTAAACTATACTGACAATTGTTAAACAATACTATGAAGCAAGAGAGGCAGCAACAGCAGTCACACACCTTCCCAGGCATTACCTGGCCAGCTGCCACTGCTGGTCCCAACAAGAAAAGGGAAATATTTGGTCTACTAGAGACCCCCATCCTGGGAACAGAAAAGACAGAGGAAAGGATATCTTCTGCCTAGTCTTAGAAAAGTCTGAGACAGATCCAAACTTCTTCCCACTCTCGCATAAAACAAACTACCACAGAAGAGAGAAATGGACAGGAATCGGGAGGTCTCAATTTCCTCTTCCTTTTACTGGAACAGATCTGTCAAGCAAAGAGTGGCACAACTCCATTTCTATACTCACTGCCCGCTCAAACTCCACAGTGCAATATGCACAAGCACAAGACAAAAACATTCTCTACTGCATCTTGATTAGAAAGCTTTAGGCTAGCATTCTTGCCACGATGAAAATGGCCTTTTTTTCCAGTTACAGTTTGTTTTGCCATGCACACTCATCTGGTTTTGTTTCTGGGTTTAGATGCTGTTTCTCTAGAGCTAAACACATGAAACACTACAAGGTCCTTATCCTACTCCATCCACCACCTCTGTCACAAGCTGACTGGGATGGCACTGCCGAGCAGGCAGGCACCATGCCCCAGCCGTCCCCATCTTTGAGAGATGACCCAGGTTTCTCTCTCAGTCCTGAAGGATGAAGTATAAGCAAAAAGGAGACAGCAGACTGGGAAAACCTATGGTGGGTAACAAAGAGGGTTAAGAACATAACAGACATAAAATTAGGACCCAAACAGTAGGTTCTGCTCTTCTCTGCTTGATGCGGGATTCCAAAGTAATTTTTAATTGAGTGTGTTCCCATTATGTAGCTGCCAAATGTCATCCACTGCCTTCCCTCGTCACAGCTTATGTCTGGAAGTTCCCACTGCCTTGGCTGAGATGCATTTCTGAGTATTCCTTATCCCAGTCAAAGGAAAATAGGACACCAAACACCACTTACTTCAAAGACTGTCCACTTAAGCAAACCTGGACTGCATAGATTGAAACAGAGAAAGGGATAACTGTAGAGAAGTAGCTTAGCTGGTAGCTCCACAGGTGTGAAAGGTGGGCCAGGAGAAGCAAACAAGCAGTTGCAAGCAGGCAGTCTTGGGCATTGTGTGTGCTACTTGCACAGCTTTCAAGGAAAACTGATGCACAAAAGAGGCTATGGAAAGGGCCAGGATGTCATACTCTGACACAAAGTTGCAACACACTGGACCAGAGTCTTAAATCTACTGACTTCTGCAGGGCTACTGCAACCAATGTGTGCTAAGGATCTGTTCTACTCTGCTTGAAACTTACTCTAAAAACATATGCCCCTTTCCAGCTCATTTGTAGTTTACCATTTATTTGCAATATCCAGAGATACCTACACACATACTTTCTTTCAAGTTACAAGACATGTATTGAGTAATTGCATATTTTCTTGCACAACAGTTTCCATGGTAATATCAAAGAATTTCAAAAGCATACATTGCCTTTGTCACAACTTTCAACAGAAAATTATCTAAACTTTTCTTTCAAGTTTATTATTTTTACTATTTGCTATTATTTTTTAAAAATTTGCCCAATGAAACAATAAAACTGATACAGTTGATCAGAAGACAATAGATCTGATGACAACTAAGTGTTCCAGTAATTCAGAACCAAAGGTTATAATACAGAAGATAAAGAACCTGCTCTGTTCACATGTCTAATGACAATACATAAGACCACACTTACCAGTTTTGGATAAGGTAAATATAAGAAGGAAAACAGTAGCTAATGATGACAAAAATTTTAAGTAGCCTTCTATTCATATTAAAATAAAATTCACACAATCCAATTAAGCCAGAGACTTATCATTAAAAAATAAATTAGGAAAAAATTAATTAAGAGAAACATTGCTTACATAAGAGAAGTCTTCAGCATTCTGACAGAGTAGCTTGGGAAAAACAGCCTGTCGCTGAAATCTTTCCTCGTCTTCAAAGATGTTCCCATACATGAAGCCATTCATCATGGTGGAGTGGGCATGGATGTCAATATAGAACTCCAAGTTAATCTTCTGTTGAGGGAAAACAACAACAAAACATTCAGCATGAGATAAATCATCGCTGCGTTATGTAGGTGGAGCCTCCCATAAATCCACTAGAGCCATCCTTGAATCTAACCATGGTGCCAGTGTCAGAGAGCCGCGCTAAAGACAATGCTTTGATGCATCCAGCCATTCATGCTGCTTCATGGGTGCATGTGAGATGCAACACAGGACCATGAGAGACATTGCCTTACCTGTTCTGAGAAAGCTGGAACATTTGTGCAGCACAGGACACTGTGCAAAACAGAGTCAAAGCATTATCTTTTGCCACCGATAAAAATATGCACCTTTCAGTTCTAGAGCATGATTATTCATTTGCCATGTCTGCACAGTTCTGCGTCGCAATGTGTAGATGTACCCTTCTGCCTTGAAAGATGGGCTCAGAATTATGTAAAAAAGACCAGTATTCCCTGTGCAGTTTATTTTAGTTTATAAGGAGAAATACCACAAATGATTTTGTCTTGCTCTGCTTTGCAGTAGTGATTCAATAGAACAACTCCCCAAAACAAGTGCCTTGAATGCCTCTCCACTTGTAGCTTCTCATGTGATTCTGCATCAACTCTTGCTTCAAAAGAAAACACAAGGAACCCTAACCCAGAAGTGCTTGCTCTCCCCATACCCTTCCTGGACTGGCAATCTAGCGTCAAAAGGTGCTGTACGAAAACACTTCTCAAGTCTCCAGTCCAGGGACACAACTTTTTCCTCACATGACATAAGTGATACTACTTCTGCCACCAGTGGCAAAGAGTGGATGTTCACCTTGATGACCATCTGCAGTGCCACTGACAGCAATAAGAAGGCAACATCCAGTACTAAAGAGTGCTACCAGAGCAGATGCCACTGAATTACCCAAACTCTTGCAACTTCTGGTCCTGAGCAAATGGTGCTCTGAGACTAGACAGTGACAAACCCACCCCTGTCACCTTGCCACCATGGGTCCAGTAAGAACCTTCCTGATGACCAGAGGGCTACAGCTCAGATGTCCCTGCCCCAACACAGGGGTGGAGAAGAGCTTGGTTAGCAGCAGAGAGATTATGATGCCTAGCCCTGTGTACCCCTGGGTGGCAAACAGGGATCCCGACCAGTAACATACAACATGGAGCTCTTCGGTCACATTTCTTGCCTGCACACAAAGCTTGCTCAGGCTACTGGAAAATACTGAGCTATGAGACAGCCCAGTGTAATACAAACACAGTTTGTATTATGCAGTTCATGTGACAGCAGTGTCAGCTCTTCCAGAGAGTCTCTGATGGGGGGAGAGCATCATTCAGTAGGTGAAAATAATATGATACAGATTTACTTTCCCTTGGCAGAAAACCAATGTACAATACACAGTGACTGTTTAGTTTAATTAAACAGCCTAGAGAGAGTAACACTGTATCTTATTAAGCCTCTCCTATGTTAAAATGTTAGCTAATGCAATATCAATATCTGACCATGCTTCATAGGAAAAGGAACATTTGATTGTATTTGACTCTAATACAATAAATTGTTTGCTCCTGCCAAAACGTTATGCTGTGCTATGGAGGACCAACACTGCAATAAAGCACACATCTGCTATTTAGAGATATAGCACTGAGGAGAAAGATTAGCATTGACAGGATGAAATACCACATAGGATTTTCTTCCTCTCCAAGCATACAGAAATTAAAACCAAGATTGAGTAATATTATTTTTTATAAGATAATTTCCCCATCAGAAACAGAATTTGATGAGATCAGATGCACACAGGCATATCACCATAAAACAGAACATGTTGTAGAGTCTCAAAACAGTGATTTGATAATGAATTGAGGAGATAATCTAGTTAAAGTGGATATTTGTAAAGCATGAATGTCCTTCACACAGAAGTCAGTGACCTAAGTCATACTTATTTTAGAACAACTAAACAGAATTCTTTATAGGGATGTATTTACTAATATGAAGTAACTGAGAAGGACAGTGAGATATGTAACAGTAGAGTAGTATCATTTGTGTCTTAACACAAATAAAGCTGCTGCCATAAACTCTATGATTTGTGCTGTGTCATACTATATTCATTCATCCGTAATTAGGAAACTGTTTCCAAAAAGGAGGTGTCTATGAACAGGGACACAGAGGCCCAGATTACTAAAATAACTTTCCATAGACTATCCAGCAAGAAATTCACCTGCAAACATTGATGAACTGAGTCTCAGCTTAGTGTTCAACTTGATCTAGTCATCCAGTCTAACACAGTATCACCAGAGAATATTTTCTAAACTCTTTTAGGATTCTCGCTTTAAAAGTTGTGAAAAAAAGCATTCCAGAGAATTTTACAGAATCTCTTGGGGTGTTAAAATTTCCTTGAAGATTTTTCTTGATCATCAAAACCATTTTCAAAGAGTCTTGTGACACTGGTTATTTGTGAGGGAACAGTGTCCTTCACAGATTTCACATTCACCTGAAGATTAAGCTTCCAGATCACTTATTTGGAAACCACAACATTCAACAGATAGCTCATCACTCAAACATGTGTTAAAAAACATTTATTCAGTCATTCATTTCCTAAATCAGCCCACAATAACTGTTCAACTGTTTGTTTGTTTGTTTGTTTGTTTTTTTCTGGTATTTGTTCCTCACCCTCATACTGAACACATAAAAAACTATTTCACATATTTTTGCCCACTAAATATAGTCCAAATTTGCAGTTGTCCATCCTATTCAGTAAGTTGTTACATATTGCTATAGTAATTGCCAATTAGATGTACTACTCCTAGACACTGCTGTATGTGAGCAGAACAGTATTTGTGTTGCACATTTCTTCTCATCACATTTATTATTTTATCAAAGGGAAACATCTTGAGCGTTCTCCATTACAGAATAAAATAATTCAGTGCATTGTTAATATAACACAAGTTCCTAATGGAAAAATTCTCTTTATTCACAGACAGAAAGATATTGTGGCCTTAAAACAGAAAATAATAGCCCAGTCACTGGGACATTAAACTCAAAGTTTGCCACCCTGTGCCCCAAGGAGTAGAGCAAGTAGTAGACTATTTGTTTTTAGGCAAATTTGACAAAAGAATTGAGATATGTTCCTGAACAATAATGGTATTTCCTCTCTCTCTTTAGAGTCATACATATTCATAAATACTTTTTGTGTAGGATCTGTTTCACCCACTGCCACACTACAAATTTAAGCTAGGGAATAAAGTTTTATATTTCAGCTGAGGTTCTCTGGAAGATTTTGACATAATTACTGATCTCCTGCAATTTAGGCAGGAACACAGAATTAACATTTTATTAAATATATAATGACACCTACTGATGGGAATTTCAGAAAAATCAGCAGAGAGCTGACCTTCTGAAATTGTTTCTCTTAGAGGTAGGGAGAATTTTAATGGGAGAATAAAGTTAATAAATGTATGTGTGCATTTACATGAGCACATGCAAACACACTTAAAACACAAACCGATCCTATCTGCTGTTAAACCACAGGGCTATCTGCCAGTATCTACACAGCAGAACTCACCCTGATTATGGCTTCTAATGCAGTAGCATCTACAAGTAAGAATGGGAATAAATTTAGAAGTGGCTCAAAGCCTCATAGTCACATTTGCTTCAGCCTTTAAGCAGAAAATAATGAATAACCAGGCTCAAACATCTCTGGATGCCATAGCTGCCTTCTGAGAGACTTACAAGTTACATCCTACAATATGATATTAAACTCATCATTTTCTGCTTTAGAGGTGGAATGCAAAATGATTCAGATGCCTTATAAAAGTTATCATGCAATTTAATTCCCTCAAGTGTCTTTTCTTTGTGCTTACAAGCAGCAGCAGAGATTTCTCTCTCATACTCTCTTTCTTAAGTAAAGCTGTAATTACCTGGGTGACCCAGCTTACAGAGTTGGAGAAAACAAAGGCAGACTTGGTCTTTCTTTTCTCTGTGTGTCAAAACAGAAATCACTCACTGACTGACAGAGACAATGATTGAACCCCACTTCCTAGAAAACAACAGCTAACATTCTCTCCCTTGAAAAGAAAGGTCTTTGCCTCTTCTTGCCACTTACCACATAAACCCAGAATAAATAAATAAGCAAACGAATTTCTGCTCTAAAGTTCATTTGAATCTTTGCCTTTGTGACACACACTTTCCGCTGTTCTCCTGAGTCAGTCTAAAGTTTCTGGCAGCTCGAGAAATATACATATAAATTAGGGAGGGAGAAAAATGAAAGAAATATTGGATAAAGTATAAGAGCTCACACACATTGTCAAGATATGAAATAGTCAAAGTAGCACAGAAACTGGAAACTGGTTCGTGATCCATATAAAGCTTTGAGAAAATATATTCTCACTTGTCTGCATTTTTATTTCATTAGCTGAATGCCTTTGGAAGGTCAGTAATTAAAAAGCAAAAGGAAAGAATGATGTTAATAGCTAGTGTTGATATGACCAAAGTTAGATTTTGAACAGTGCAATTAAGATTCGTAAGGAAACAGAGATTTAATAAATAAATAAATAAAAATCAATAAATGCCGTAATAAAAGGATAAATGTGCATTGAGCCCAGAACATGAGCCACTAGAGAGACAAATGATGCAAGAAGAAGCCAGATCTGTCCACCAGCTGTCACTTCAATATGGATTTTATTAATTCTTGGGCATAGCAACTGGCTTAGAGAAAGACCATCCAAAAGCCTTCTTCACTCCAATATTTCATACAGGGGATGGGATAAACTCCTTGCAATGTTTTATACAAGTACCTAAAACCATGGCTTGTCGTTAGTGGCAGGAACGTAACAGCCTTCAGGCACACTTCGTACTCTCCCTTCTAAGCCACTGTTTGGAGCAAAGGGACATACAACAGTTGGCACGTCATAAGGAGTTTGCCCCTATCGGTTCAGAAAGGACTCAGAAATTCCCAGAAGACCAGCCCTTTGATGCTTCCTCAGGTCCAGAATCTCTCAAAAGAAAATTCTGCGTAGTCTCAAATACATCCATTTTGACAC